GAGCCACTTCTTACTCAGCAAGTTCAAAACAGGAAAAGGAAATCCTACCGCCAGCCCCCTACTTGTCTTTCCATGCCTGGCTTCAGTTAGTCAACACTGCCCTCTCCAGTTTCATCTGTGATATAAAGCGCAGGACCTCATCCTTTTGTGGCTGAAGCATCTTCACTGTGTACATGTACCCCGTATTTCTGTCGTCATCAGTTGGTGGCCCTCTGACTGTTTCCATTTCTTAGTTCTTCCACCAAGTGCTGCAATAAACGGGAGAGTACAAATGTCTCTTGAACACACTGATTTCACTTCCTGCAGAGATACACCCAGGAGGAGGCTTGCTGGGTCACATAGTACTTCCAGGTTTAATTTTCTCGGGATCCTCCACCTTCCTCTCCTCATTGCCCCACACACAGCGCCAGGGCTCTCCTCTCCCCACATCCTAGCCAGCACTTCTTATCCTCACCCTTCTCCCTGGAGTAAGCTTGGAGTTCACTGCAGTTTCGCTTTACGTTCCCAGAGGGTTGGTGATGGTGAGCGGTTGTTCCTATGCCTGATGTTCTTTTCTGTGTCTTCTTTTGAGAAATGTGGATTTGGATCTGTGTCCATTTTGTAATCAGCTTATTTGGGAGGTGTCTTGTTTCATTTTGGTGCTGTCCAGTATGTGGTGTTCCTTGTGTATTCTGGGCCACAGAACCTCACAGGGCGACAGTTTGCAAACATTTTCTCCCATTGTGCAAGTTGTCTCTTCATCCTGTTAATGGCTGTGTAGATTTTGTCTGTGCGATCCCATGTATTTTTCCTTTTGCTTCCTGTGCTTTGGGATCTTTCCAAGAAATCCTTGCCCTTTCCAACGTCCTGAAGCATTTCTCCTATGTCCCCTCCAATAGTTCCCCGGTTCAGGACTGACAATTATGTCTGTAATCCATCCTGGGTTGACTTTTGTAGCAGATGAGAGGCTGGAGGCTGGACACACAGTTTCCTTCTGGCTCCACTTTTCTGCGTGTGGACACAATCTCCCGGCGCCCGCCCTTCACAAACTACCCTTTACTCCCCACATGTGCTGAGCACCTCCGTGCAGTCGGTTGCTGCACATATGTGAGTGCCTCTGGCTCGGGGTCTGCCCCAATGGTCACTGCATCGGTTCAGTCCCCATATCACTCTCTCTCTATCATTTGGGATTTTTTTGTGGCCCCATACAAATGTCAGGGTAGTAGTTTTTTCTATTTCTGTGAAGAAAGTCACTGGCATTTTGATGAGGGTCATACCGATTCTACAGATGGCTTTTAGAAGTACAGACATTTCCACAATGTTGGTTCTTCTGACTCAGGAACATAGGATGCCTTTCCATTTGTGTGTGCGTCCTCTTCCATTTCCTTCAGCCACTTTTTTTGTTTCCATTGTAAATTATTTTAAAATGATCTTCCACAATCATGTTTAAAATTGTAAGCCAATTGAATCATTTTTCCAAGGAGAGGGACCAAGGTTTTGTCACTAGGACTTCAGTTTATGAATCTACGCTCCAACAAGGACAGGAATTCCTTCTTGTCCTTGTGTTCCTTGCTGTCCACTACACAAAGCACAGCGCTTCCTGGAGCTTCCCATGGGCAGGGATTGTTGCTGCGCTTGCAGCACAGAACCCAACACCCTGTCGCCTCCAGAAAGGGCCCGGGAGCCTGTGCTCGTTTTTTACACTGTTCTGCAGCCGTATCTATTGCCACAGCTCTTTTCTCCTTGAAAGACTAAAACTCCACCCTTTCTAAACACTAAGTCCTCACTCCTCTTTGCCCAGCGCCCCACCCGTTACCCTTATTCCGCATCCTGTCTCTGTGAGTTCAACTACCCTGTGTGCTGGGTGTAAATGGAATCATACTATAGCTGCCTGTCTGTGATGGGCTTGTTTCTTTCCTTGGGGTTGGCCCATGTCATAGCAGGGGGGAGCTCCCTTCTTTTCCCAAGCCAGGTGACAGTCCCGTGGCACATCTGTGCACATTCTGCTTATCTGTGGAGGGACACTTTTTAGCTCCTACACTTAGTTGCGTGGCTGACATGGCTATGGGCTTGGGTGTGCCGGTGTCTCTCAGCACCGTGTTCAGTTCTTCTGTGTAGCGCTCAGGAGTGCTACTGACCATGGCAATTACATGTCCCCTTTCGTGGCATCATCATGCTGTGTCCCACAGGCCTGTGGCATTTCACGCCCCCAATGCAGGCGCACCAGAGCTCTGGGAGTCCCCGTCCTTGCCCACACTTCCTATTTCCTGCCTTTGAGGTAGCCATTCTAGCTAGCATGTGCTACGGGCGCTCTTTCTGTGGAAATCAGCTAAGGGAACAGGAATAGCTGTGCCCTCCACGGGGCATCAAGGGCAGTCTGACCACTCTCTGTGGTCCTGCGATGCGGGGCCCAAATCTTTGTACATTTGCCCAAGCCCGGAGAACATCCAATCCCCCAGAGGGAAGCCCACTGAGATGGTGACAGGCACATGTGGGTTCCCAGCTGTGACAGCAGCAGCACTCTGGTGGGGGATGTGGGTACTGAGGACGGGGTGCCAGGCACATGTGGGGACCTCTGTGCCTTCCGCTCAGTTGCCCCATAAACCTAAAACTACTCTTTAAAAAGTGTCCTCCATGCATCCCCGAGTCCAAGGAGAAGAGGAGAGTGAGACAGAACAAAGGAGCCATGCTCCTGAGCTCACGATTCAGGGCCTGACTGCAAGGTTCTCCAACAGCTGGGTGTGAGCCTGGGAAGGCAGCTACGACCAGCCATTGCACACTCTGAGACCAGGAAGGACGTGGAAGCCCTTGGGGTAGCCCAAGGGACGCCCCTGCAAACGTGAGTGAGATGCAGCGCCAGAGCAAGGGACAAGTGGCCGGAGCCTGGCAGAAAGGCCCCGAGAACCTCAGGACAGAATAAACTTGGGCAGGCAGGCAGGAGAAGATGAGCAGGATGTGGGACTGTCACAGTCTGGGTGGTGGCCGGCGGGAGAAGGTGCAGAATGACAACACGCGCCGCGCCTGCGCCCACCACCAAGGCCAGTTCTACTCGGCCCGACCCGGACCAGGGCAGCGGCTCCCGCTGACCCTCTCCTGCCTGGCAGCAGCGCTGCCTACCTGGCCCCTTCTTGCACCCAGCGCTGCCGCCCCGCCCTGGGATTCTGTTACCAGCCAGGATGCCGCCCCATTGAGAGGATCAGCAAAGCCACGCGACGGGAAGTGAACTACAGCGGAGGTGCTGAATTCTCTCCAGATGAGCCTGGAGAGAGCTGCCCAGGGCCAGCTGGGAGCCATGCCGCTCAGGAAGCCGTAAGGGACCAGCCTCCTTTCCGTCACCCCACCATCCCAGGGAGCTCCAGGCAGCCTCAGCACTGGAGAAACTAGGAGAAAGGATCCAAAAAGAAGATCAAGGCAGCACTCCGTGGTAAAAGCCTGGGTGCCGGCACAGATTGGCTGCTTACATCTCATTGGTCAGGACATGGTCACATGGTCAAGCTTCGCTGCACAGGATGCTGGGAAATGGAGTCCTCCTTCTGGGAGCCATCTTGCCATGAAGAGCAGATGTTACAGACGACTTGCCATCTCTGCCCAGCATAAAACCCAGACCCTTTCACAACCCATAGGTTCCTGGGTAGCCCTGACCCCTCCCAGCCCTGGGTGCCCCTTCACTTCCGGTCTGTCCCTCGCTTCCCAGAATCAATCCATCCCGTAGGTCTGGTATGAATGTTGGCTGCTCACAGGAGCTGTCTGGACTCTCCAAAGCTGGCGATCCTGGAGCACCCCGTGTCCTGTCCCAGGCAGCCTGCAGTTCTCTTGCATATGGGTCCAGGTGTGTTCACCCCACACAGGTAACCTCTGCAGTGGGGTCTGTGGTGAGCCCTGCCAGAGGAAGGGGGCTACCCTGTCGGGGTCCTGCACCCCCAGCCTTCACCACCCTCTCAGTGGTGGTGGTCGGACTGTCACGTGGCTCTCAACCTTCAACGGACACAGCATTACCAAGGCCGGGTGCACAACACAGACGCCTCCCCAGAGAATGGTTTCAATAGGTCTGAAGAGGGGCCCCAATCTACATCACATGGTGCCTGCGCCACACAACGTTGGCTGTACCTCAGCAGAGGCTGTGGAGGGCATCTGTGATTCACTCAAGTGCAGGCATGAATACTCAGTCTGTCGTGCAGAAGTCAAAAGGAAGCTATGGGTGGCTGTTGATCAGTTTGCAGTTCAAGATTTAAACTGTTGAGCTTGGCATGGTGGCGCATACCTGTCATCCCAGCACTTGGGATGCCGAGGCAGGAGGATCCCTTCAAGTTCAGCCTCCAAGCCAGCCTGAACTACATATTGAGAACCTGTATCAAAAAGAAAAAAAATAAATAAAGTTGTGACATTTCCCCACACATACCCATACCCCCATGTAATCCAGTAGCAAGCCCTTTTACCAAAACCTATAGAATTCACCTCAACTCTACACCAGTTCATCATCGCCACCCTGGTCCAGGCTGCTATGTCTGGTTCACCCTCTCCCTCAACAGACCAAGGAGAGGAAGACGATCTAGACTGGGGCTCCACCTGGACAAGGGGTCACCTACTCCTTCCACCCCTAACCAGGTAGAACCAAAGCCCCAAAGGCCTGCAGAAGGAAAAGGTCCACAACACTCCACCCAGGTCCTCAAGGGTCAAGATGAGCTGGTGCACAACAACCAGAAATTCTGCTCAGGCCAGGGCAGGGCACCCTGTCAAATGGAACATGCGCCCTGCTGAGTTCTGGCTCTTGGTCCCCACACTCCCCAGGGGGACAGATAACAACAAAGGGAGGGGAGGAGCCCAATGGACTCTGATGGCAGAAGAGGGGACACACAAGTTCACACCACTTCTCTCTCAAGGGCTGGACCCTGTGTGGAGGAGCGTCTTCCTGGGCACCACCCCATCTCTGGGATGCATGGGCAAAGATGACACAGGTGACCCTGGGACTTTAACCTCCTCCTGGCACAAGCTCCCTGTGCACTGCTCGGTGGCGATACATCATGACACACTCAGGCATCCTCCTTGCTGTCACTCTGGCCACCCTTCTGACTGCGGGGGCTGGGGCTCCTGTCCCCAGGAAGGACCCCGCCAAGAAGCTTCTCCTCGTGTCATTCGATGGCTTCCGCTGGGACTATGACCAGGATGTGGACACCCCCAATCTGGATGCCATGGCTCAAGATGGGGTAAAAGCTCGCTACATGACACCTGCCTTTGTCACTCTGACCAGCCCCTGCCACTTCACGCTGGTTACTGGTAAGTGTTGGTCATGGGGTGGGGAAAGGGCGGCAGGAGCTTCAGTGAGGTCCCAGAGCCCTGCCCATAGGCCCTGGGGACAAAGGTGACAAGGCCTTGCTTCAAGAAGGGACCTATACTTCATGGACTCTGACAAAGGCACCACAGAAATACATTCTGCTAGTGGCACCCAATGGAGGGCAAATAAACACACCCAGGGGACTCATTAAACAGGGATCCCACAGTGGGGTGACAAGCCACAAGGCTTCTGCGATGGCCAGCCCGGGAACCCAGCTCACTTCCCCTACCACCACCCTGCCTCCTCCCTCAGGCAAATACGTGGAGAACCATGGGGTGGTCCACAACATGTTCTACAATGTCACCAGCAAGGTAAAGCTGCCCTACTACACCACGCTCGGCATCCAGGGTTGGTGGGACAACGGCAGTGTGCCCATCTGGATTACAGCCCAGAGACAGGTGAGGCAGCCCCCACCCAGCCAACATCAGCGTGGGGACGGAGGGGCTGGCATGCCGAGCCCATGACCCTGTGAGGTCCAGGGAAGCCCATGCTGGTCCAGAGGCCTAGGACTGCCAGTGTCCCTGTGGGAGGCTGCTAAGCAGGGTCCACAGGGAGAGGCTTGGGCTAAAGACTGCCTCAGGCTATGGCCAGAGCCCTGCCTGGTTCCCTCAGGAGCCCCGAGATCACAGGGCATTGCTCTGTATCCCCAAGGGAGACAGGCTGTGTCCCTGAGCCCTTCAGCCCTGCGGGGCAGACTCACTCAGGGACGATCACTGCTGAACTCAGTAAAGTCTGAAGTGGCTGCATCCCTGTGCCCCAGGGCCCTTTTGGACTAGACAGCTGAATTCTCGAGGCCCAGACCAACTAGGTGATGGGCTGGTATGTCAAGCCAAGAGCCCACCAATTTACAATGCTCTGGAATCTTCCAGTCAACAGAATCAAATGGAAGATTTCAGGCTGACCCCACCGATTCCCTTGTTCCTGCCTTGTTCCTGCTACCGGGGCTCCTCCCCAGTGCTCCCCCCTGGGGCCCCAGGGCAGAAAGCCAAGGCAGGGAGCATGGCACGGCGTGGTGCTCCATCCACAAGAAAGGAGGACCTGGGCGCAGACAGGCAGATGGGCTTGTGGCAGAGGGCTAGAGGGACAGATGGAGTCGTAAAGGAGGCAGCAATGGTTTTGTGGGAAGAGGGACGGAAAAGGCGAAAGCTGGAGCGGGAGGTGGACAGCTGGACAGACGCACCTGGGTGAGGGGCCAGCTACAGTTGCAAGGGAGGGCTCTCTGGGCAGCCGGCCTCAAGACAGGGACCCACAGCCACAATGAGGATAATGAGAATGTAGTGTGGGAAGGGACACTTTGCATCGTGTTGTTTAGTGCTTGTGAGCACTGGTCATTTATCATCTATCTCCTCCATAAACTGGTTCTGGCCCAGGTAATGTGAAACAAGGGCTCCTTTAGAAAATAAAAGGCTTTGTGGCCACAGGCAGGAGCAGAGCCGAGCGGGATGCAGACGCGGAGGTGGGGCTGCGTGAGTGGGTGCGGAGCAGGCAGGCAGCCCGGCTCTCATCCTACCTTGCCCTGTAGGGTTTAAAGGCCGGCTCCTTCTTCTACCCCGGCGGCAATGTTACCTACCAAGGAGAGGCTGTGTCTCTGAGCCGGAAGGAAGGCGCTCTACACAACTACAAAGACGAGGAAGAGTGGAGGACAAATGTGGACACCGTGATGAGGTGGCTCACCGAGGAGGACCTGGCGCTGGTCACCCTCTACTTCGGGGAGCCAGACTCCACCGGCCACAGGTACGGCCCTGAGTCCCCAGAGAGGAAGGAGATGGTGAAGCAGGTGGACCGGACTGTGGGCTACCTCCGCGACAGCATCGAGCGCCACAACCTCACCGGCAGCCTCAACCTGATCGTCACATCCGACCACGGCATGACCACGGTGCACAAGACGGCCACAGACTTGGTGGAGTTCCACAAGTTCCCCAACTTCACCTTCCAGGACATCGAGTTCGAGCTCCTGGACTATGGGCCAAATGGGATGCTGATTCCCAAGGAGGGGCTGCTGGAGAAGGTGTACGGGGTGCTCAAGGATGCCCACCCCAGGCTGCACGTCTACAAGAAGGAGGAGTTCCCCGAGTCCTTCCACTACGCCAACAACTCCAGGATCACGCCCCTGCTCATGTACAGCGACCTGGGCTACGTCATCCATGGCGTAAGTCTGCGGGACACACAGGGGCTGGGCTCGCCCAAGGGGCTCCAGGGCTCATCCCACTTCCATGGAAGGGGCCCGGTTTCTCACGAGGCCCCAGTTTGAGAAGTGTCAGCTTCCCAAGGGACACATGCATCCCTGTGTGGTCGGAGTGCGTGTAAGTGTGCACATGTGTGTGTGTGCTGGGCTAAAGTCTGAGGTCACCAGCTGCCGAAGTGACGCAGGCCACGGGAACAGGGGTGCTGAACAAGAAGCAGAGACCCAGTCAGGAGAAGATACGAAGGCGGAAGGAAGCCAGGGAAGGCCTAGCGTCGCCTCAGCAACCCCCGCCTCTCACCGACTTCCGTCACCATTTACTTCAGCAGCTGTTCACTGGGGTGCCTATCTTTGGGATCTCGCGGCGCTGAGTCTCAGAGCCCCTGGACCCACAAAGGTGCCAAGCCACAGGCGGCGCTGATGGGCGAGGGGCAGAGGCTCCTGGGGTGCACTGACCCTTGGCCCTTGGCCCTCCCCATAGAGATGGAGCGTCCAGTTCAACCGAGGTGAGCATGGCTTTGACCACAGAGCCATGGACATGAAGACCATCTTCCGGGCCGCGGGCCCCAGCTTCAAGGCAGGCCTGGAGGTGGAGCCCTTCGAGAGCATCCATGTGTACGAGCTCCTGTGCCAGCTGCTGGGCATCGTGCCTGAGGCCAATGACGGGCACCCCGACACCCTGAAGCCTATGCTCCGATCAGGTGAGAGAGACGCCCTCCCCCCGACCCCGGCGGGTGCGTTCACACTCGTGCCTGTGTGCTGAGACCCCGTGCCCCGCGTGCCAGGCGGGGTGGAGATTGCCGGGTGCAGGGCCACCCTGCTGTCCCTCACCAGACCCCTGGCTTCCCCAGGCTCTGCTCTCCTGCCACACAGACAGCCCTCCTCAGTGACAGCGCTGCTGGGAGCCCTGATTCTTCTGGTCACCGTGACATAATGCTCCACAACCAAGGTCAGAGGCCTGGAAGGCCGGGCGGGCATGACCGTGCTCCTCAGCTTGCCCTCTGCCCCAGCACACACCTGGGCAGTGGCAAAACAGACCTGTAGCCCCTCCTTCCTCCACAGACCCTGCACTCCTCAGTGGCGAGGGAGTTACCTCTGGGAGGACAGGTGCAGATCTGAAAGCCAGGTGGCAGGGCTACTCCACTTCTTTGTCCTGTGTTGTCGCAGGTTTTGGCCAAAGCAGAGGAAAGGGAGACAGGAGACAGCTTGGAGTCAGGCTTTGGTCTGGGCTTGAAGACACAGTGAACAAGAAGGGCCAGGCATGCGGGTGGGGGGAGGGTAATCTAGGGCACAGGACCAGCATGGACAGGAGGGAGTGAGTCCACACACAAGACAGCAGCAACAGTAGACTTGGGGTGCACGCTGAGGGGCAGGAGGGAGAGAGCCCCCCCAGCTCAAGGGATGGACACAGAGATTCTGGGCAAGAGGCTGGCGGGGCCGGCCCAAGGTCAGCCTGCTTCTGGAGGAGACAAAGGCAGGTGTACGACAGAGAGAAGGCTATCCTGTGACATGCATGGCCCCACAGTCACTCCATGTGCAGCAGGAGCCCCAGAGGATATTCCAGGGGCACAGTGCCGCCTGGTGTCATCGGTCACCCAAATGCCCTGGTGCTAGGCAGGAATGCAGAAATCTGAGCGGGGGGTGGGGACCAGTTAGAAGGTCACTGCAGTGGCCCAGGCAGGCCATTCTGGCGCAGAGGCCGAGTTGATGCCAAGGACAGACTGAGGACACTGTCAGGAGGCCGGCGCTCTAGGCTGACAGAGAGACCCGGTCTGAGGGGCTCGGCAGGCAGCTCACATTCAGGGCTTTCCGCAATGTGTTCAACACCCACAGGGCACAAAGTGGTAGCGCTGCAGACGGAGGGACCAGATGAGAGTCCCCAGCTGGAGGGTGAAGACAACGAGAGAACAGTGGCCTTGTCACCCACTGGGAAGGCTGACCAGGGTGGCAGTGAGGCGGAAAGGAGAGAGAGAAACGCTGGGACATGATGGGGGGAGGCCTGCAGGGCCCAGTGTCAGAGCTGGAAGGGACCCCAAACGTGCCACACAAGTAGGACGCTGGAGCTCAGGGCCATGAGCTGACTGGGCCAAGGTCCCCAGAAGGCCACAGGCTGCATCGAGACACTGGGTTTTCAGTCCTGAGCGCTTCCGGCCTCAGCACCAGCCCCACTGCGGGGCGCATGCTATGCAGCAGATCTGTCCACAGCCCTGGAGTGGCACAAGCAATACCAGGAAGTGAGTTCAGCGGGGGGTTTGGAGGACAGGGGATGAGACCCCAGCATCTCACAGAAAGAGGATGGAAGCAGGGGAAGCCACCAAGGCCCCAGCACAGCATCAGGAGACACAGGGCCACGGTGCGCTAGCAAACCCACCCTGCCCAACAGAAATGCCCTGATTGGCAGTGCTCACCCCCTCCTGTGGTGTGAACTCCCACACTGTGGCCGGCTGGAAGCTGCCAACTTGAAGCCACCAAACACAAAACTGTGTTATAGTTACCCCATCCCCAGGGCAAGGCCCAGCCCAGCTGCCCCCTGGGGCTGCAAGGAAGGCAGCCCTGGCCTTGGCTCCCCTGCAGAGGACTTGGCAGGAGGGTGTGAGCATCCCCTTCCTCCTGCAGTCAGGGTTCTGCAGAGCCAGGCCCCAGGAAGTGCCCCTCCCTCAGTCCTGGAGAAGGTCCCAAGCCTCCCCACCTGTGCTCACCTGTGCCCACCTGCACTGTCCTCTCCAGCAGTCCCCCTGGAGTTCCCATGGGCATGACAAGGCCCCTGCCCCTGCCCCCTACCTCTGCACTGTCACCTCCCCCAGACCCATTTCCCCCGCCTGCCCTTTCATCGAAGCCCATTGCTGTCTTACAGGAAGCCTGAGCCAGCCCTCCTGCTGCAGGGCCTCATCTGAGACCGCACCCTGCATCCGCCCAGGCCTGGCCACTCCAGTGCTGGCAACAATCCCCCTGCCTAAATTCATGCTCCAGACCAACAGCCCCGCTCACTCATCATAGGCCCCTGATGCAAAATCCACCCTAGAAATCAACGCTGTGACCCCAGCCCCCAGGACCCCAGCTGCCAGCTTCCACCTCCAGCTCCAGGCCTGGGCCGCCAGGCAGTCACCCAGCACACAGCATGGATGCATAGCCAGCAAGCTCGGGCACCAACCCACAGACGCAGGACGGGTGCAGTAGCCATCATGGGGCCGGATGAGGGTTCTGTCCACACCCTGCTGTGTTCCTCCCTGTCCCCCACTACCCCCTATGCGGAAGAAACTGCTATTGAATGTCTGGACAAACACAGCGGAACTGATGGTTTCCTGCTGGGAGATCCAGCTGGCTGAAAGGCATGGACATGGGCCCGGGAGCCACTGGCCCAGTAGTCTACCAGGGAGGACTGCCCCTGCCACCCCCACTGCCCACACCATTTCGGAAGCCCCATTGCTGGCCACACTGGCATGGAGCTCCCCCCAGGCTGGGCCCTCCTGGCCAGAGAAGCGGAGCCCCTGTCACTGTGGGGGAGGGTGGCACCAGAGCTCTGTCAGTACAACCACCACCGCCCTCCCTCCAAGGCAAAATAGACCTAATTCAGACTCCATGTTATCATGCCTGTTTGCTTATCTGTCACTACCTAGGGAGTGTGCCAGGGTACTTTTCATTTTTCAGTACTGGGAATCAAACCCAGGGCATTAAGCTCTATCCCTAACAGCACACACACACACACACACACACACACACACACACACACACACTTTTGGGGGTTTGAGGGGGTTGTTTGTTTTTTTAATGTATTTGGTACAGGATCTACAGGGCCTGTAGGGTCTCACTACACAGATGGGACTCATGGTGATCCTCCTGTTTTCAGCCTCCCAAATGATGGGATTACAGGTGCGTGCCACTATGCTGAGGGTCTTGCTAAGTCCTTAAGTTACTCAGACGGCTAGAACTGGTGATCCTCCTGCCTCAGCCTCCCAGAGTGCTGGGATTACAGATATGTGCCACCACACCCAGCTGCCTTATATTTATTTTTATGATCCTTTCAACATTTAGTTGTTGTTACTGACTTATGTCTCTTTTTTAGGTTTTTTTTTCCTTTCAAAATTAATGTCAGTGCAATAACCAAGAATGTGTTGATTTAAGGAACACTGTTGAGTAAACAGTGTGCAGCTGGTGGGCAGGGCAGCCTAGTGGAGGGAGTCCACACCAGCAAGCCTTCTTCCCGCTCTTGTGCTCAGCTCCTCAGGCTTTGGGGACAATGTCTCCCGTACCCTCCCCGGCCAGTACCTGCAGAGATCCACTGTGTGTCTGGTACCTTGCTCCCTCTCTGGCTACCACTAGCCCTGCGGTACGAAGCACTCTTTGCCATCAGCCCACCTGAACCGGCTCCCTGACAAAACCAGAGCTGAAACAAAGCCGAGCCCTGGACTCTGCAGCCCCGAGGGGTGACTGGAAGGTCTCCCTCAGCCACCAGCCACACCCAAACCTCGGCCAACCCACAGTCTTGCCCAAATGTGGCCAGCCTGGGTGCCGGCTGTAATGCAGGGACATCTGGGTTCTGATGCAACCGTTGCTACGCAGCAGGGTGTACCTGGGAAACTCAGAAAACCCTCTTCAGGAGATGCTGCCCCTTTAAAGATGGCACTGCACGCTGCTACCAGGAGGCGGCGCTCTTGAGCTCCTGAGCATCCCCTGAAGCTTTTTTCTTTTTTTTTTTTTTTTTTTTTTTTCGGGGATTTCTTACTCGGGAATTTGTGCCTTCTTGGCAGGCGCTTCTGAAGCAATTTCTAAAGTCCACGGTGACAGGATGGCGCTGGCCCGTATTCCAGCACTTGGGAGGCTGAGGCAGGAGGATCGCAGCGATTTCAAGGCTAGCCTGAACTGCATAGGGAGACCCGGCAGGAAGGAAGGAAGGAAGGAAGGAAGGAAGGAAGGAAGGAAGGAAGGAAGGAAGAAAGGGAGGGAGGGAGAGAGGGAGGGAGGAAGGGAGGGGAGGGATTTCACCTCCTGCTCCTCCCTCCTCCTGTACAATAGACCCAGCCTTGGGTGGGCTCAAAGACCTTTTGGAGTTTGCTCCTGACGTTTGGGACCAGGTCTTTTGGGGATGCCAAGGGGAGGGGTCCTGTAGCCCTGTGCTTAGCGCTAACCCTGACCTGGGCTCGTGATCTGGCTGGGCAGGCACTCGCCCTCCGAACGCGCATTTCTGCCCGCCCACTGGCTAGCGCTCAAGAATCTCGAACACGATCGGCGTTACGAATGAGAGACCCGAAACCTCCACGATAAGCAGGGTGAGAAGGCGGCAGCGCAGCCGGGCCCCGGGCGGCGTGGGAAGCGCACGGGATTCGCCAGCTCCGGCCCAGGGCGCCTGCCCAGCTTGCCCCAAGGTGCTTCCCAGCGCAGATCCGGCTTCTCTCCGCTGACCAGGACCTGTCTGGAACGCGGGGTCGCTCGCCCTTGAGCAGCTTAGAGCAGGAGACGTGGACCCGGCCAGCTCACCCACAGATTCGCATTCCGGGTCGTCCTGCCTGGCGCTCCTTAAGCCCTTGGCGCCCCCTCCGGAACGGGCAGGGCACCCGTGGTCCTCCGACCCCTACGAGCTGACCCTGGGCCGGCGCCGCCCCACCCGATGGCACGAAGCAGGGAATTCTGGCAAAGGGGACAGCAGAAATGGCACCCTCCGCCCCACGGCCAGAGGACTCGAGGGAGGGAACCGGGTGTCCCGGCCAGCTCTGGGACTGAGAAGCAAGGAGGGACCGCTCTCAGGGGCGTGTCGGAGGCGGCAGCCTCCCCTCCCCCGCCCCACCGGCAGCTGAGCGGGCGGAGAGCATCTGTTGCCATGGTTACTGTGGCTAGCTGGCGGGGCTTAGTTCCCTGGTCTCAGGCTCCGACAACTGAAGTCTGGACGCGGGCGGGACCACGCGCGCACACTCGCCTCGCACGCGAACTACATACCGCAGCCTTTCACCCACGCACACCATGAACACACACCCAGCCACATACACCTCCACACTGCAACCACAAACCCGACTCTAACCCTTATCTGCACCCCACCGCACACCCCCTTTGCGCATCGCACACACATCACACCGCAGACACACACAACCCACGCGCGGGACCCCGACGCCCGGGTACGAGGACCCAGCAGAGCTCCCCCCCCCCGTCAGGCTCAGCAGGACGCCGTCCCCTCCACTCGTCTCCTTTGCCCTCTCCACAGTCCAGGCGCCCTCGCCTCCAAGGACGCAGCAGTCACCTTGCCCCTGTGACAGGACGGTCAGTGCAGCCACCCCGGGCCCCACCACCCCAGCCCTGACTACACCACTCCTGCTGGAGCGCCCTAGCATTAGCAAAACCAAGACCTGGCACTGAGCATCCCGGGGGCCCACAGGGTCGCTGTCCCGCAGTCAGGACATGTTGGCCACAGGGCCTGTGAGAGGCAGGGCCTCCGGATCCCCTGGCCTCAGGGGAAAACTACCGAGACAAAGGTTTTGTGATGTTTGCAACGCGGCTTCTGGCTTTAATCTCTGGAGAAGTTCAGAACTGCATGCCCATTTCTATTATTTGCTTTTCCTCTCTAAGGAGAGGCTTAATTTTTGGTTTTGGTGCCAAGGACCAAACCCAGGGCTTGCAGCTTGCTAGGCAAACGTTCTACCGCTGAGCCAAATCCCCAGTCCATCTGGAGAAGTTCAGAAAGCAGAGGGCACAGCTGTAACAAAACTATGCCCCCACCATGTGTGAATTCAAAAGAAGCAAGCCGCCTCATGACCTACACAATAAACCTGAAAAGTAAACTGATGAGTAGCATGGGCCTGTGAGCCAGAACTCCCAGAGGCCCAGGAGGGACCGTGAGCCCAGCAACTTAATGAGACCTTGCATGAGTACACGCATACATGCGTCATTACATACATGTATGCATGCATACATACATGTGTACAAAGCTGGGGCTGTAGCTCAGGGCCAACCCACTACAAAAACAAAAAACAAAAATGAAATTTAACTTTTTTTTTTTTTTTGTAACAGGGATCAAACTCAGGACTTTGTGCTTTCCAGGCAGTTGCTTAAGCCACTGAGCTATCTCCCATGCCCCAAATTCAGAACTCATCTCAGTAGTTTTCATCCAGTAATACATGAACTGTTTGAAAAGCACACATCAGGACCGGGGAGATAGTTCAGTAGAATAGCCACTTGCCTGGCAAGCACAAGGGCTTGAGTTCAATCTCTTGTTCTCTTTTTTTGCAACTATGGCCAAGATTAAGGCTCGGGATCTTCGAGGCAAGAAGAAAGAAGAGTTGTTGAAACAGCTAGACGACCTGAAGGTGGAGCTGTCACAGCTGCGCGTCGCTAAAGTGACGGTTGGC